AATATGCATATTCTCCATACTGTTTCTCCATACATTTCCTAAGGTTCTGACAAGGAGAATTGGTTTGACATTTATGAGCTTCCTGAGTTGGTGATCATTTCCTATATTCTCGTGACCTTCATGTTTGACTCAGGGGTGATATTGTAAGGAGAAATTGGATGTTAGTCATTCTTAGGAGTCCAAGTGTTAAGCAGAGGGTAGTAAAAGACTCAGCGCGTCTTGTTTTCTGCATGTGCATTCATTAAAATTTCACAAAAATTGGTATCACTCTAAAAATTCATTTTACCCTGTATTTTGCGCATTTAAAATCTCTTTACCCTCACCTAAATAAACCAACAGCGACTTACTCTAATAAATTCAAAGTGAAATACGTTTTTATATACTATTAAAAGAGTACAAAAAAACTGATAGCATGTTAAGAGTCTTGCCTGCGAATGCGGCTTTGCGCAACTGGAAGATTGGCCATATCTTCTTTGAGAACAAATTTCTTGAGGCCGAGAATGAAGTGCAAAAAATAGTTGTTCCAATCCAGCTTCTGCACGTCAAAGTTGAAGGTCTGAGAACACAGATAGATCAAGGAAAATGTTAAAATAAGCTACACAAAAGTTGCATCTTACAAAAATGCGTGATATAAAAGGGCAATAAGTAAAACTCGCCAACATTCAGAGCACAATAAGCAATAGAAAATATCCAGTCTGCCTGGTCTTTTAAACCCTTTTTTCTTCCAGGATCTAAATATCACTTCTCTGCACTGTCTGCCATACACTCCTCATGATTTTGAAAATGAGAATTCTGTGATAAATCAAACAATATTCCCTGGTTGACATTTTTTAGCACCTGTTCACTTTTAAATTTGAAAATGTATGGATACTGTATAAAGAGATAACTGTTTTAAAGTATAAAACCTTACGGCTTTAGTTTACATAACAGTTTATGTCCCACAAAGTGGCTGAAAACAGTAAATAATTTGTCGTTTTCTCTAACCATGCAATGTTACATGGCTATTTCAGTTCTTTAAATTTGAACTTCATAAGCCTTACAGCCGAAATTTTGGATAACACGAACCAAATTGCACAAGGAACAAGTTTACTAACCTCTCTGTCTTGAGGGCTCATATCTTGGATCAGTCCATGATAGTTGTCCATTGAAAACTACAAGTAAAAAACATCAGTTATAATTCAACACGCTCCTTTGTACTGCTACAGTTGCTTACACTTCGTGTGCACTCACGGTCGACAGACCAGCATTTTACTAGTTTAAATGTCCTTTTGGCGGGAGACTCGGTAAACTCAACTCAGGGCGATCCGACAGAGGTCACAACCTCTGCAACTTACTGAGTAGTTTTTCTCTTAATAATCCCTCTAGGAAGTGTTAGGTTTTGTTTTTTTACGGCCTAATTCACTGTAAAAGTATTTTTATCTTTGACCATCACTCGTAAGGTACCATGAATACGTTTTTCTCATGCAGGACGGCTGCCTGCCTCCACCATCCCTCTAGGCACCAGCTCCCAAACTCACCCATCTCAATGAGAATACGTTCGTGTGTCCACATTACATCGATTGTCATTATCAATCCAAACATAGATTTAAGGAACATGTTGTAAAATGTAAATACAATCATAAAGTCCAATTCTACCTCCCAGCCTCTGGAAGTGAAGAAGATCAAGCTCTTGGTTGCCCTGTCCAGCTTGCCATATAACTTATTCATTCTGTTAAGATCAAAACATATCATAACATTCTCTGAACAAGCAGATCACATTAGTGTAGTTTTTTTTCTTTTTTTTTTTCTTTTTTTTTTAACTGAAGAGCCATTGAAACCATCTTGTCTGGCAAAATTCATCTTTCTTATTCTCTGTACCTTCAAAAATCGTTAATTTCTGGCTTAGAAAAAGATTCATGCACAAAACTGATGAAACAATTACTTCAAAGGTAGTTTTGATTACAGCACCTTTGTCTTTGATGAGCCCAAATACATGTAAAAAACTTAGGCAAAACACTCCAACTCACTCACCTTGGTCTTTGCCCAGAACAAAAGGATCCCATGTCAGCAATGAAGGCAGGGATTTTGTGACCAATATAGCACCAGTAGTAGTGGATCAGTCTGTAAAATAACATGAATGAACAAATTAATCAATTAATTAACAAAACAATCAATCCATCAATCAGTAAGTTAGTCAGTCAATCAATCAGGCTGTCAATCTTCCAAATTTCAATAAATGAATGTATTGCATCATTCCAATGATCTATTCATTGATTAGGTAATCTTTCAGTCTGTCAAAGTCCTTCCATTAACGTCATACAACCACTCATCTGTCCAAACAAGTTTACAATGACTGACAAACCATGCTAGACAATATTGATTGCAATAATAATTATACAGTAAATCAATGCCTTTTTACTAAATGATAAATTTCAACTTGATACCTTCTTTGCTCAAAAGCAAAGTTTGGTCTCCTGAATACTCCTTCAAATGGATAATTCTGGAAATGCTTACTAACCATGGTACCTGTCAGTAAATATAATTTAAATAATGTATAATTATTATAAGTACATAATGGCCAGAAGAAGACAGCAGGTCATGAAAAGCAAAGCCATAAAAATAAGTAATTTAATTCAAGACAGGAAAAAACAAGATTAACAGAAAATTACTTCACAACATTTCAAGCTATATACAGAATGATTCAATTGACAGATTCAAATAAACTTACACAAATTGCCCCAAGTGCATCCATTCAATGTGCCTGTGGTTAGATGGTAGACCGGAATACTTGAATGACTACAAGGAAACAAGACTGATTACAATTCCGTGCAAGTAACAATTGCATTTGAGGCAGTTTATGGTACTTCATCCTGCACATGTCACTAAATCAAAGTTGCTTGGATGAAATGTTCCTTGTACAGTATTTTTAGACCTGAGCCAGGAAAACTGGACTATCCCTTCTAACTAAATAAAGCCAGAGTAACCTTCATTAGAAAATAAAAGGCATTTTAAGTTTCCTCTCATAGTCTCATCACTTGGATGACCTCTTTTTTTATTTTTCTAGTTTCTGTTTCTCATGACCTTTTAGATGGTAATCTAAAAAAAAGTAGCTCAAAAGTAAGACGAGACTTCACTCTTTGCATTTCTTTGAAAATCACCCCTTCATTTGCTTGACTCAATTTTTCGTATCAAATGTGGGGCCAGCGCTTTAATGGAAATGGGTTAATCAGCTCTGTTGATCAGGCCCTCATGACTCTTCAAAAATTTCAGTCATCTATACCTCTATCTTGTCACAGCTTTATTACTTTCATTAATTTGGAACTCTCTTCCTATTTCAGTCACTCGTTCATCAAAGCTTCTTAGCTTTAAGATGAAAATGCAAGAGTTTTTACTTATATAATCACTGAATTGGCCAGCTGCACATTCGCAGCACTTTTTCTTTACTTGATTTATTATTACAAGTGAGGCGGCTCTCCCATAAGCCTGGTGGCTTCCTGGGTCTCCTCGCCTTCTAGCTATTAATGCTGTAAATAAATTTTGTACTGTGAAAATAAGGCAAATAAAAGATGATGATTATGATGATGATGATTACAGTATGAACATGAATGCTTATCTACAAGTATTGGAAACATAGAAATAGAGCTACCGACACTTCCTTTGTACCTATGCAGAAAAAATAAGACATTCAACTACCTTTTTGCAACTCTGTGCCAAGCAATGGCAAGCAACATATTGGCTGAGTAGTCAACGGGAATAATATCTGCAATGGCATTCCAATCTCCGATCATTGACCGCAGCATTCCTTTTCCAGCCTACAAGTAAAACACATTTTATTTACAACTATGCCTGAAAAAGAAAAAAAGGCCTTTGTCTCTATCCATGGAATCTTACCAGTCCTTCACTCAGCTACTACAAGTTCAACAAAATCTAAATGTTTCAAAGATGAGAAAATTACTACCAAACTTGCCACCATTTATGTTGATTATCTGTAGAGATGTTCCATTTTTTCACTTTGCAAGTACATAAAAATGTATAGTGATTGATTTTACAAATACAAGATAAAAAAAGAAACATAAGTCTGAGGATAGGAAATTTTGTAACGATAAACTATCACTGTCCTGACATAAGGAAGTGATCATTTGAATTGTTTGCACCCTTTGATTGTAGTTCAAAAAAAGATTGATACCCTTCAAATATGATATACAGAAACATGCCTTTGGGTGAAAGAACAGTATGACCTTTGTGTCCTTAAAATTCTAGATTTATGGCATTGCACACTGAGTAGCAGCATGAGCAGAGAGTACACTGTACATAAAATGAAGGAAAAGAAATCAAAAGCAACAACTCACAGCAACAAAAAGACCACTAGGCCCGTTGAAATTGTCCACCCAACCCTGAAAAAAAAATTTACCATCAAATGCAGGAATTTTTTTGCTGCTGGAGAAATTGTAAATCATTATAATATAAGGGGAATTACACTATCTATACAGTTTCCAGATCTCTGACACACACAAACACTGCTGCAACAACTGAATTTGCAAATCAAAATATCCTTTAATTATTTATTGATTTATTAAAGTAAGTTATTAAGGGTATGTCTGACCTGTTTCAGAATGACTGCAAGAACATATCAGCAAATTAATCTTTAAATGACCAGTACAAAGTAATGTGTGTTTGCATGTAGTGCAAGTACTTGACAGAAGTTTTTTTTAGGTGGTTAACAGAAAAGCATGACACAACTCACTTCCAAGGGTTCTTTCCAAGCTGCACCAATGATTGAAGGCCTGAAAATTGCTATTGGGATGTTGTCAGCCTCTTGAAGTAAGACATGCTCAGCCAGACTTTTGGTGAAAGTGTATGTGTTGGGTCGCTTGCCAATCAAATGTGGTGTTAGAGAATTCACCATGTCATCATTCATCCAGCTGATCACAATAAAAAAGATTGCATCCAAAGAATTACTTTTGCAAGAGCCTAGCACAAGAACATAACCTAAAGAGGTAATTATGAATATCTTTGTTCAGCATGCATGTGTTTGTGCGGAGGAAACATCTTTGAATATACATCATATGCTACATGAATAATGTACATAGAAATCTTTGTCACTTTGTTACCCAATAGATGAGGAAAGCTTGTCAGGGTCTACTGAAGGAGGGTATATCCTTTCATCAATGACTTCCCTGTCACAGTTAGCATATGCTGTGGAAACATGAACCAAGACCTGAAGAAAAAATTATGGAAAATGTAAATAAGAGATATTTGTATATAGTATTACATGTATGTTATGTATTATTAATTCAAATTGATGCAAACTTTACAATTAGACCTCCCCCCTCGTAGATAAATAAAAGATTAAAATTGCGCTTGATGTAAATTCATCTGAAGTTAGTTCTAACAGAATTCTTGATAAGCAAATCTGAAATTTAAAGACAAACTTTTTAATATTCTTTTGGTAAGGAGAGGAGGGTGTAACAGGGTCAATTTATTAGGCCAAAAGTATGTGAACAACATGGCTATAGGAATCTTCAAAAGAACTAATACACATAATATTACTCTACTATCTACATAAATCAAATCATTTAAACTCTTTTGCTGCCTTGTTCTTAATCAAACAAGTTTCTCATCTTCCAATTAAAACCCCCAGGTTTGGATCAGACAAAATAACCCACACACATTACTGAAAGATGTAAAATATTGTGCATTCTAAAAAAAAAAAAAGAAAAAAAAAAAAGAAATATTAGCTACTTTTTTTCTATTGTTTTGACTGTAACCTAACATTTGAGAATTTAGTCTCATTCTAGTTTCCTTGCTTTGATTCTCCCTGCTATCAATTCTGAAGAACACTGCCCACCTGAAAAATCTAAAAATTCTCACCTCAAGACGTTTCATCCCACGGCACAACCCAATGACATTTTGAGTTCCATATAAATTCAAAGTCATTGCATCCCTATGGAAAGATATCAGGGGCACTTATATACAGACTGCAAAATTGAAAAGGGGATTAAATTCGAGTTCTTAACAATGCAGCATGTTTAAGTACTATAACTGGAATAAAAATAAGATGAAAATGATAAATGTGAGCTTGGCTTGGTTGTTTCGGTAACTAAATTCAATTCCTGATGCTTACTTTAGATCTTCATCAAATCTGACTGTTGCCGCAGAGTGGAATACAATTTCAACATTTTCTTGAAGTGTTCTCCAATCCTCATCTGACATTCCAAGTTTATCTTCAGCAATGTCCCCCTTGATGGGTACAAGTTTGCTTCTCCAGTCACCACCCATGTCTCTAACTCTGTCATAGAGCTATAAAGGAGATATAAATTTATAATTTGTTACTGACCTAACTAAAAATTTTTACCCTAATTAAACATACTGCATATATCAATACCTGAATTGTAACAATTGATAGTTACATAACCAGGTGTTTTTTGGCTTCAGGAGATTTGAGGATTATCACGCAAATATCAAGAATTTCCCAGCTAAAACTAATGGCCTCAAAGTAGAGAATCCTCTCTTTTATCTATTTACTATCCTCTTTCAACAGAACTTCATCTCTACATAACAGATACATAGTTACATAATAGTTACAGAGCTAATTAAATCACAGTTTCTATCCATAAAATGAGATAACAAAACAGCCATAATTAGGAAAAGCCGTTGCAGCATCTGAAAATGATAAGTACTGTAAATCGCAATTACAATATAACTGTGTGGTGAGCAAAAGTGTCTCAAATGGTGAAAAGAGTGAGCAGTTTTTCCATAAAAGTTTATCAGCATTTAACTTTTGATGATAGCTCTGAACTGAATCCCTTATGAGAATCAACTTTAAAGTTAATGACATCAGAAATATAGTAAAAAAAAAGAAGAGTCATAAGAAAAACCTACCATTCCATCTAACAAGTCATCAATTCTCTGTTGGGGGCTAACACCACGTCGGCTTCTTGCCAGAAGATAAATCTTTTTCACATGAGGACATGCCCTTAAAAGTTTTTCTATCACGACTTTACCAAGAAATCCAGTAGCCCCAGTAATAAATACTGTTTTCTGTGCGTAAAAGTCACTTATAGACAACAGATCCTTTGCTTCTGACATTCTGGCTTCAAAGTGTTTGGCACCAGCTCAGACTTATTCACAGCACAACCTCTTCTCTGATAATACTCCCTCCAGACACTGCAAACAATTTATAACACCAGAATCATATAAACTGGTATTGAGGGTGAAAATTGAGTGTTTACAAACACAATGTCTAGTTGAAATGTGGTATCCAACTGAGAGTGGGGCAGAGGGTCTAATAACCAGGAAAGTTCCGCGTCTGGTTTTAAAATGTGTTTTTTCTTGTCCTCACAAACTGAATCTTGAGATGAAAAGAGCAGGGGCTTTAGGCTTTGAGCTCTGATACAATAAAAATTGATTGTAAAACACAATCACTACTAAACAAAAACTTTTTCCTGCTCTGAATTAAAGATTACATAATACAGTATCTTGTATAGCTAGATGACTACATACATGTTTATATCACTCATCAGTCCACAATTTAGGGCACAATATTTAAGAGTCTCATGCAAAAATTCTATCAATCTGATACAGGACTAGATTGAAAAGATAAATAATCTCAAGGTAGCCTTTAGATGAAGTAGTTCTAAATGGTTGGTAAGAAAATGCCTATTCTTAAACTAAAATATAAAACTATTCAAGTTACATGAGAAATTGAAGACAGAGACTGAAAGCCACACAGACAATAATGTCTTGGTAAAGAAAGCAATAGCATGTAGCTAACATGTGCTGCTAACAACAGGACACCAGTGAAGACCACAACAATTACTTAATCAGTGAAAATAACGTACAGTTGTCAACAAATTATTTTCTATATCATCAAAAAAATTAAATTTTCTTAAGAGAGTGCTGAAAATAGGCTTTATGTGAAATAATACAGTGTAGGCAGTCTCTTTTCCTTTTATGATCACAACCAGAGGGTTAAAGTCACAACAATTACATAATAATCACTTCTTTTGTCTGAACCACCTCCTGTAACATGTAACACTCATTTGACCTTTACATTTGCATGTGACAGCTAGTGGGAATGAATGTGATGTAGACATGTAACCAGGACAAAGTCCTAGCTTTAGGAAAATGTTCATTGTCTTCAAAAATAGCTCAACACTTCGTAAAATTGACACCAGATGTAATGAGCTAACCTTTTAAAAAAAATTAAGACTCGTTTTCAAAGTGGAATCCCTGTGCTGGAAAAAGATAACCCTCTCCTGACAACAACCACAGCTTACCAGCTCCTTCTCAATTAGTACTTCACTGAACAGGATTAGTACTGTATCAACAAATGAGACTCTTATATTGAAATTATCACGTCTTCATTAAATCCAGCTACACATTATGAAAATAGACAAGAGTTCAATTGTTTTCCTTTTGTTTTCAGAGTAAACTGAGAAAGTGGCGAAGCGTTTCCCTCGATATATCACCGACATTCTGCAAGAATGCGGATGTGTTTTTTTAACAGCGACATGTACAAGCTTGACCAAGCGAGTCACGATAGGATTAACAGTACAAAAGAAGAGAGAATGCAGTAAAATTAAATAACAGTTGGAACGTTTAATAAAGCCAAAAGTAGCCCTCGAAACAAGTTTCAGCACGTAGAGAAGCATTGCTGGAGGTATTGTAGCGGTGTAAAACAAGTCCTGCTAACGAACCGATAATTACGAACCGTTGCGATAAGATTATTACAGCTTCAAGTTTTTCACTAATACATGTAGCTACAGTCTGAGTAACTAAGCGGGCTATTTAGCGGCTTTGGAGGTGCAGTGGTCTCAAGATATAACAAATTCAATAGAGTTAAAAAGACTTTATCATTCACATGTGGCTAGTTGTTTCTCAATATGGATGATTTTATCTCACCTGCACGCATGGGCTAATTCATCCGATACGCTGGCTTTCAAAGCCTCCGTTCCTCATACAACTATACCTTTAGGCCCGAAATTAGGGAAAGCTGCGATAACTTACTATTGGAAATAACTCGGTTCAACCGAAAAAACTTTGAAAAGTTGAAAACTGCCTGACCCCTCGACACGACTTCTGCAAAAGCTTAACCCACTTCAGCACTTCAGGACAACAAGTTAGAAATTATGCGCCGCCTCATTGTATCGAGCCAGCGGAAACCTCTTCATTTTATAGCCAAGAGCCTGGTTCCCAATATACTCGACTAGAAATTTCTCTGATTATTTTCCTTTTACAAACAAAAAGTTTACGAAGTCTTACAGCCATTTATCTCACTGTTTAAAGCAATGTAGCAAACACATTTGGCTGGAAGACTCTTCAAATGTGTGAACTATATAAAACTGCCCGTTCAGCTCTCCAGAAACATGGACTGGTTGATGGGGTGAGTTATAAGCCGGTGTTGTGTTGTGATCTCGTGTCTTCTTTACTTTTCTTCCGCGGTCATGTTGGGTGCGGTCTCTACAATAATTATGAAACAAAGAAACTGAAATAGTGTTTACTTGTTATTAAATCAAATGACAGGAAATTGCTTAGAAAAATTTGGGCGGAAAGACCTCAAGAAAGCGCATAATTTTGTGGCGCGGCGGCTCGATGACTCGTTCACTTAGTATTGAGCACGAATATCGTTACAGTCCGTATCAATTTACCAAATATCGCCATGTGAACCTTTTCTTCCGATTGGACTGTCTTAGTGAATATAGAGATTTGTTTTAAGTCAGTTTTGAATCCATTTTTTTGTTGTGTGGCTTAAATATTGTCTTGTTTTTTTCCCGGACATCCTATTCTCTCTTGGAGGTGATGGAGAGCCTAAAAACTTAAATTGTAGCGATATTTAAGTAGGACAACATATACAGGTGCGATTAACGTCTGTCTGTTTTGAAACAAGAAAAATGCATGTTAGCTTCTGTTTCGAAATGATTTGCATGCTTTTCTTCCAACAAGGAGCGAATGCGGCGGTAACATTAAAATTCAGGTGACATAATTCACAAATACATCAGTTCTATATTTTAATGTAGAACTGATATATACATGTAAATTATGTCTCTTAAATTAGACATGCATCGTAAGTTAAGTAAACATGGGTAGGGATCAGTTCTGACTATGAAATAACAGCTATATTTTACAATGTATGTCTAATTTACATGTATTTTCACGGTTTTTTCCTTGTTTTTGGTTGGGGGTAGCATCATCCGTTGAGGCTTTTTGAGGAAATGTCATCACAACAATGATGTAGTTGAAAAAACAAAAAGAAAGAAAAGAATTCCAAAAATCCAGTAATTGCTGTGTAGCAGTCTAGTGTGCATTGTTTGAAACAAACAAAACACTAATTCATGTTTCATAATCTTGAAAGGGTTTTTGTTTATAAACTAGCAAAGGTAAAGGTAGATAATTAATCTTTGTGAAGTTATAATGGGAATCAAATTTATGAAAAATACAGGAACAATTACTTGTATACAATAAGTTTAGAAAATATTGGATAATGGATATTGAATAATTTATCTTTGATATGCACATTAGGATTTTCTATTAATTGATTGTTAATATTTTGTGCAATCATTATTATTTCACTTTTATTATGTGCTAATGTAAATATTCAAATTATATAATTGCATAATGATGTTGAGCTTTAGCTGTAATCAGGGTGTGCTGGTTTAAAATTTTCTTATTAATTCCAGCGTGCATCATGCATATATTGATCTAAATGTAAGAAATGATTTAATACTAAGTTCGTTAAAATCTTAGAAGACATCAAAAGCCTTTGAATTTTATTGTGACTCATCTTTACTTTTTCATTTTTGCTTCACTTTTTACTTTTGGTGTATTGAAATTTTTCCCTTTCTGCTATAAAATATTTCACCATTTTTCAACACTGAAGGAGTTATAGACCTTTTTAGCTACATGGTCACATGGTTTGAAATGGATAACAAAAATTCTAAATGGCTGCTCAAGTATGTGCTTCAGATGATGTCTTATAACTGCTTCTTTTCTTTCCGAATTGTCCATTTTCACTGATAACTCTGCACTCTAAAGACTGTGGTTATGTAGAACAAAAGAAATGAACTTTATAATTGAGATTCTAATCACCTTACGCTGGAAAAGAAACTTTTGAGTACATGATCTTAAATGATGTAATGACCAGTAGTGGCAAATTTTTCTGAGAGTTTTCATAAATTGAGAAAACCTTTAGAATCTAAAATAGGAGGAGATTTATAAATCTCATATCTCATGCTTGGTTTTTTGCTGACTCAGAATACTTAGAAATTGCTTGATATCAACTGCTGGTCATGTTTCTCTTATAACTAAATAACCAGCAGTGATTAATTTTACTGGGAATTTAAGAAATCGAGACAACCTTCAGAGTATTCCATCCAACTATACCTATTTTAATGAGGAACTGACAAGCGATCTTGACGCTTAGTTTATGCAGGGCTTCTTTACATGTTAAAAGAGATACAGGGAATGAAACTGAGCAGTAGAAGGTTTGGTATCAAAACACCCCCCTACCATAATAGTTGCCACTGTCAGATTTTTGAGATACCTCTAATTTCCCTGACAAATGTAAATTTCTCTGACCAATTGACTTAACAATTTCATGAGCAAATCAATGATTTTTTTCAGCAAATTAGACTTTAATACTTTCTCTAACTGAAGAGCAAAAGAACAAAATTTTTAAAAATTTTGGTGACAGTGTAAATGTCCAGAAGTAAGAAAGAGGTATTAACTTCTCTCTATAATATCTCTACATTATTTTGATCTAACACCAAATTCTCATAACTGATTTTACAAAGAAATGTGTAGCAGCCAGAGGAGAGAATTGAGAATCTGCCCTTGGGAGGTAAAAAATTTAAGTCCAGGAGCAGCTTTCTTGCAGACCTTTTGCAGTTTTGTTGTTTATTGTTATCCAGAGCCTTTGGGATCATGGTATAAATTAAACATAAAAAGTAGATGTGTTGTAGTTAACTTCAAGTTTTTCTCCTCATGTTAAGGAAGGGGAAGAAAAAGCCTGCTGAACCAGAAGTAAAAGAGAACAAACCGTACTTAGAGGAACAATATGTTAAAAGTTTTATCAGAGAAATATCAGAAGTCAGAGAACTTGTGCCTCTCCCACCAAGTATTGACCTTAATGAATGGCTGGCATCAAACAGTTAGTATGACTGTAGATTTTGCTTTGATTGAAGGGTGAACCTCTGAGATAACTACAGGAAAACTTTTATTTCTGAAATTGAGAAGAACAAGCTCATCAGATTTGAGAAAACTTAACTCCAAGCAGTAAACTTTATAAGTTTGTGGTTTCCTGGTTTTTTCGATTGTTCTGATCATGTGTGATTTTCGATTACACATCAAACACCCATAACATATCTCGATGTTACAGTTTGCAGTTTTCTTTGGTTGACAGTAATTTGAAACATTGTAGATCTCTTCCATATGGTTGGCCTTATAAACTCCAATTCTTTTGATTACAGCTGTAAATTACATTGTATCTCCACCAACCCTATCCATCAGTCATGTTCAGTTCAGCAATGATAGAATTTTCACTCCAAAACAAGGACTATGAGGATTGTTTACCTGTAGATGCACTTAACAGAGTTCTCATTAGGATAACTATTTTTCAGAGGTCTGTGAAATGGGAGCTACCAGTTGTCATATGTTTGTCCCTTAATGACCTGTTTCAGTTAATAATGCTGTTTAATTTGCAGATGAACTAGGAAATAGAAATGTATATTTTTCCATCCTCTTTGTAGCTTTAGCCTTCTTTAACCAAATTGACTTATTGTATGGAAGTGTCAGTGAGAGATGTACCACAACAACCTGTCCTACCATGTCAGCACCTGGCTCTGTGTAAGTTAGATGAATCTTTTGAATTCAAATCAAAGTCTTTATGTCGTATATGTACTGTATCAATAATTATTGCATAACTGTAGTATTTTTCTGTCATTGAAAAACTACATTTATGACCATTCATTTTCTATGAACTAAACAGAATGACCTAACTTAAGTACTACCTTACCAGCAGGTCAGAACCAACTTATTAATCACAACTCACCTAGGCAGCTTTTCAAGAGTCTTACAACCAACAGCATCACTGCAAAACTGACCTATAGTATTAGTTTTCAGGAACTAGACTTAAAATGATATTTGACTGACAAACAACTCCTTACGTATCTCTGACAATGACTCCTGCTCATGTTTATGAAACATGGATCACATCAACTGACAACAGTATTTTTAAGTATCACTCTCTCTTGAATGATCATACTACACATTAAAAAATTCTAATCATCTCAATTGATTTTTAGAACTTACTTTTGGCATGATGACAAAGGAAAGAAAACTACCAAAACAAATGTTTCTGCACCTCAGTACATTGATTTGGTTTTGACATGTAGTCACAAGTATCTTCATGATGATGCTGTGTTTCCAACAAAATATGGTAAGTGTAATCCTTTAACCCATTAGGGTGATTGTCATTTTATTTCTCCTTACAGTATCGCTGTTGAATCAAACATGAAGGTCAAGAGATTAAAGGAAATGATCAACAGCTAAAGAAACCATGTCTTGTTAATCCTTTAACTCCCATGAGTGACCAAGACAGAATTTCTCCTTACAATATCAATACAATATCAACCAGATAAGAGTGATGAGAATAAAGAAAAATATCAATTTTGGGATAATTAGTTGATCCAATTCTAAATTCTCTGAACTAGCATTATAAAAATTATATGGTTGACATTAAGGAGAATTACAAATTTGATCTGGGAGTTAAAGGGTTAAACAAATTCTCATTTTCGACACCTTAAATGTATGAAGAACATTATAAAGAATAGGCATGCTGATGATATTATGTTAGTAATAAATGTTACTAGCAGTGGCCTAGATCAAAACAAAGTACATGTAAAAGTCACAATTAGCCAATGATAGCCAATAATAAATGGGTTGTACCATGTAATATATAGATTTAGCCAAGCCTAAAAGCGGAGCTCTTAATAGTTTATTTTCCAACCCCTACGTTACACTGAATAAAAACTGTAATAAAACTATCTACTGGCAAGTTTTTGTATTATATTTCAACCCAACCATTTTGTCAACACTATTATAAAGTAATTAGTCAGGGAAATGGAAAACTTGTGGCATATACACCATGTTTGAAATGCCATGACCATAGTAAGCTAACAGGATTGAGGAGGATGTATGTGGGAATAGGCCTTCTTGTCTGTATCAATAATTTGGTTAGGTGACTGACAAACTACATGTGATGTAACAATTAAAGGGCATGTTAAAAAATCAAATATTTGTCAAATTTTTAGACAAATTTATAGTTATGCCTAAGGTATTAATTTGCCCTTTAATTAATTCTCTTTATATTTCTCGCTGGTTTGCATTTTGCTTTCAAGATACAACTTTGCATTCACAAATGTTCCCTTCTCAAAGAAAATATTCTCCCTTTTAATTGTTTTAAAGAAGTTGCTGCCCTGTGATACTGACCCTTTAACTCCCACAAGTGATTAACATGTAACTTCTCCCTTTAATATCCATACATTATCAAGCAAACTGGTAATAAGAAGTTTTTATCTTAATCTAACATCTAACTCTTGTAACTCATTTCAAAGGAAGTGGAGGAGCCAGGGGGGAGAATTGATAATCAAATCTTGGGAGTTAAAGGGTAAAGTACAACAGGATCATACGAGGAAATTGTTTGGTTCAAATTAGAGGGATCAACTGAAGAACAAGAAAAACCATTAATGAAAAAATTAAATCTTACTGTTCTCTAGAGTGAGAATTTTATCTTAAATCGATACTTCCCTCTTTTTATCCTCTCTCAACAGGTCTGACATTTCCGGCAACATTTCTGACAACAGTACGGAAAATTTTCAAGCTTCTATTTCATGTGTTGGCCCACATGTACTATGCACACTTCAACAACTTATTAAACCATGGACTACAATCTCACATTAATACAGTTTTGATGAACTTTTTTTTGTATCACCAAGAATTTAACTTGTTGGATCCAAAGGAAACTGCACCATTGGATGACCTTCTTCAAGCAATGGGTTTAATAAATCAAAGTTAGTTTTTTAAAATATCTTGTACGGGTACAGCTGTATGTATTTTAGATAAAAGATCTGTCTTCATTAAGTAACTATATTTTCCCAATTGGTGGTGTTCATATTTGTGAGAAGCCCTGAAACAAAAGTTGCTCCAAATTTTAATTTAATTCTAAAAAAATAAAAGTTTGTTTTATTTTTTAGCATTAGACAAGTATGTTTTAAATTGGCTACTGTTGAATGATAATTTAATTAGGTAAAGGTCTCATCTCTCTCTCTCTTAGGAACTTAATATTGTTTACACCCTTACTGTGTGCTATACATTTCTTGCGTTTTGCTAATTCTTAGAGTTTGGCTTAAAGGAAACCTCCACTGATGGAACAAACTTTTTGTTTAATTATCAAACTTATCTTTTAAGTTGAAAGTTTTTGCCTTAAATAGAAATTAACTACAGTTGAACCCAGCAAATTCAACTTTCTTGAAGGGAAACAAAAGGTAGAGCTAGTGGGAGTTTGAGTTAGCCGACAGTAAATGACTTTAAAAATTGGTGGTAGGGAAATGGGGTTTTGTTCAAGTTACCCAATGGTTTGACTTAGTAGAGTTCAAGTTAGTGGGATTCTACTGTACTTTGTGCAAGATAAATTGGGAAAAGATGTTGCCAGTTTTCAAACTGGAATTCTGTGTGTTTCCATGTTGAATTGTGTGGTGTGTTTCGGATGCCACTGTTATCTGCAGGATACCCCTTGGACTCTGTGGACAGAAGAGCTATAACATCAAATGTGCCAAAATGGTGCCTTCCAGGAAATTGAAGCACAAGTTTTGCTTATATTTGTTGACAGGTTTTATACATTTCAATTCTTGTTTCCCAATTCTTCAAGGTTGGAGGTTTCCTTTAAATTTAAGATCTTCTTAACTATATATTTGTTTTGTTTTCCTCTGAGTTTGTGAGTCGTTTGAATGAGGATTTTTCACTACTGTAACAATATTATTTTTAAATAAGTTTCTAATATTGTTCTCTCCTGATAGTGAAAGGTTTAGTCATGTATACTAATTTTAAAGGTTGATGTAGTTTTAAGAAGTAAATATTATTTATAATAGTTATTAGCTCAAAATTTGAGGGATTCTGGTGATAGTAAACATGTACTATGTAGATTGGTCAGTTAGACCTTGTTAACTATCAGTAGTTTATGTTTGGCAAAAGAAATGCCTTTCACAACAACTTAGTTGGTGTCTGTTTTAGAATTTGTTACTGTCCAGTTTAAAATCTTTTCAAAACATGATTCTGCTTACCGTAGGGTTAACTAATGTCAGCCTTCAGTTCTACTTTGAGATATCAGTCTGATTGATTTTCTACAAAAGGGATTTATGTACTTATCAGCTTTAATTGTAAAGACACTCTTGCTTGTTGATTTGAACTAAATGTACCCTTTAACTCCCATGATCTGATTGTTTTTTCTCCCCTCTAGCTGCTACACATTTTCTTGTAAATTATTTACTGAGAATTTGGTGCAAGATCAAGGTCAAACTTATGCCTGATAAGTCTGAATATTCTAATCACCTGTCTGTGAGATAATGAATGGATATTATAAGGAGAGGTTGCATGATACTCAGTCATGGGAGTTTAAGGTTAAGAAACATTTGTGAAGAAATGGTGATTAAGTTGCTACTGTAAGTTATGCTTTAGAAGCTCCTCACTTCAGTTAGTTTCTGCTATTCATAGGTTTAAGTCAAGTTCCTTTTTTTACATTTTAAAGAGCAATTCAGTAGTAAGGTGTGTCAGATAACACTTGCATGGTTGTGCTTCACCTTGATGGTGGAGTGTTTTTGTCGCTGGTCACGACAAATGCATGAAAATTGACAATGTCATCTTCCTCAACTGATTCTTTTTGGCCAATATGTTGATTTTTCTACTCAGGCATGCTTTGCTTTGTAGTTACAACCCTGTGGCATTACACCTACGGTTTGCGAAGAATAAAGTCAGTGAAATGAAGTTATGATTGTTTTTTTTGGGGTGGGGAAAGAAGGAGAATTGCCTCTGGATGTGGCTCCCTCAGAGGATATTACCTGAAAAATAGGGTGAAGGTGTGACAAAATTGATTTATATTTCCCTCCTCACTAGTTTCTCACCCACCTACTTTCAAGCAGATAAGTAGGAGCTCTACTGATAAGATTTCCTTTTAGTAAGAACATTGCATTTTATTTATTTGTCATACCATGATGCCCAAATTATTGATGTCTCATTTTGACAACCTGAGATGGTCTAAGTTCACAAAAGAACACAAAATCCTCCTCAATCCTGTGTGCTCTCACTGGTGATTTTAAGTTCAGTGTTAATCCTAAGTGGTAATATTTGATTGATGGGCAATGTGTGAAAGCTAAAAACATTTGATGATTTTGTTGATAACAAAGATGTGGCCATGGAAGGTTTCCTTTGTACAATTTTTTTTTTCTTTGACACTTTTTACCCTAACATCAGTACGCATATTCTCCATAACATTCTTTAAACATTTTCTTAGGTGCTGACAAGGAGAAATTGTTTTATGATCAAGAGGTTCTTTAGTTGGTGATCATTTCCCTTAATCAAGTGACTTCAGCCCTTTTACCCCTTATAGTGACTAACATCTAATTTCTCCTTACAATATCACCCCTGAATCACACATCAAGGTCACAAGAAAACAGAAAATGATCACCATGCAAAGAAGCTTTTGATTGGTAAACAAATTCTCCTTGTCATCACCTTAGGAAATGTAAGGAGAACAGTATAGAGAATATGCATACTAATGTTAGGGTGTAAAGGGTTAATGTATGATTCTGGGGTGATATTGAAGGGGAAATTAGAAGCTAGTCACAAGAAAGAGAAATCTCAAGGTAGCTGTTCCAAGACTGCCAAGTTGAAATTGCCTCACCCAAAAGAAAACTAAGAGCATCTTTTATTTCCCCTTTTACCTCCAAAACACATGATGTGAGGAACTCTGTTCAGTTGTCAAACGTACAAATAGGCACACGATTTACAGTATGGAATTTATCATGTCTTTCGGACGCAAAAAATACAACTATTTACGGAAGTGGCTTTAGAGTTCTTTTACTCTAATTTACTTTTAGCAAAAAGGAATTGAAATGGAGAAATTATTTACATTATTCAAAATGTTAAACTGATGAAAACAGTAATCGGTTGAATAACGATGAAAAACACCTTTCAAAGTCCAATTCAGACATCGGGTTTTCACTGTCACAGCGTTAAAAGGTGGAACATTTTGTTAAAGAATGTCCCAATATAAACAAAGCGAAGTTCTTCAATTATCTGCAAACAATTATCTCAAGTTGCCAGCAAAGAGAAAGACACAACTCAGTCCGCTTTTTTTCTTGCACAAGGCGGAAAAATCTTGAGTGTCACTTTGGTGACCAATGTACGAAAGAAGGCCGCCTATTAGCACTCCACCCTCTCCTCCCTTCACTCTTGCATCACAAAATGCTGAATTGCGGCGAGTCTCCTGCATTCACGGTCAGCTACTAGAGATCTTAGCGCCTGACTTCTTTTCCAGCCACGTTCTGTACTTTGTGAGCGCAGTGTCTAGCATCTCTACTAAGTGATTGGCCAGCTAAATAAGGACAAGGAAAATAAGAGTACGAATAACATAAAGAGACGATGAGGAAATAAAAGAACCTAAAACCTGAAAACTCCCTGCTGATGAAATTTAATCATACTATATCGGAGAAAATGTGTGTAACGACGTTTCCGATTACAGAGCTGTTTTTGTCTTCTACGGTACTATCATACCAAGGTTAAAAAGCGAAAGGAGTAACGACTGATCTAATCCGCAGTTTTATGACAGATTTAAGTGAAACTGAAAGATTAGAAAGGACTGCACGGTGGCGAATGTACACTGTAGTGACACGAAGCTTTAAACGTTTAACATTCTTCCTTACATGAGCCTCTTCGGCGGGAAGTTGATTGCGGAATTGCTGCAGCTTGGCATCTCTGTACTTTTCAAGGCTTTGGCCCATTTTAACCATCTGTTAACCAAGAATTCACACATCAAGCCATTTCATCTCAGCATATGAATGTCAACTTACATCACGTTGTGTAAAACAAACAAGAACACTGTATTTCCTCAAATAAGTGCCTAGGTGCTTATTTCAAATTTCGGCTGTAAGGACGGGCGCTTATCGGAAGGGGGTGCTTAATCGAGGGGTGCGCATATCATTCTATTACACTGATTCCACTGTTTCTGAAGCTTAAAAAGCTTTAAATAAAGTGAGAGTAGAGGCTTGTATCCCTACTATTTAAGAAAGTGAGGGAGGAGGGACCGAGGGGGCTTATTGGAGAGGGGCGCTTAGGGGTGGGTGCTTACTCGGGGAAGGGCACTTATTAGAGCGTGGGCACTTATTTGAGGAAATACAGTTAAATATCATACAGTAGCCAACTATTGCCTTTCTGACATCTGGTTGTTAGGAAAAAAACCTTACAGTTTATTACCCGAGCTTGTCTCACCTTTTCCTCCAAGAATTGTGTCTTGATTGGAAAGCATGACCAAAAGTGTCTTAGCAGCTCGGACAGTGAGTTGTACTGAAGCTTAACTTCCGCCTGAACTGACGAAGACACTAAATCTGTATGTTAAAACAAAAAAAAAATCTGCTCAGTTAAATATTCTCTCCTCGATGAAAGATGGAACAAAGGCTAGAAAACTCAGAGTATCTAAAAAGCCGTTCTCGCAAATCCAGAAATTTAGTCAAACACTTCGTTTTTGCCATTAAGACTGATGAAATGTTTCTGGTTGACAAATTGTTTTCGTATCGTTTTCATTAAAATGGTAGTCCAAGCCAACAAGTCCATAGCCAATTAGAGCAAAGATTAACAACAGCAGAGGAAACAAATGAATGCTCAGAGTGAGCTCAGGAACACGTACGCTACCAAGACGCAACTGGTTTCCATTTACATCTGATTGGTTGAGAGGGTAGCACGAGTTTGCTACACAATGCAAAGCAATCAACCAATCAAACAATCATTTATTCAGTCCATCAGTCAGACAGTCAGTCAGTCAGACAGTCTGTAAGTCAGTCAGTCAATTAAAGAATCAGTCAGTCAGTCAGTCAGCTGGTCCGTCAGTCAATCAATCGATCAATAAATCAATCAGTTCGAGTAGATATTAATGACATTGATGCAATCACAGATTACTTTCGACATTCTATTCAAAATTTGCACTGATTTCATATTTACGTTGCATGCTTGTCTCAGAAGTTGTGCTCATCAGAGATCCACCAGGGGACATTTCTGTAAGGACGTGACAAGCCATGTCACTGGGAAGAGTCTAAACAGTAACAATGAAAAGTTCCCAGTTATTTTTATCACGCACAACAGCGCAAAAGAAAAGACTTTCCGTTGTTTTGGTTACACACAACGACCCAAAAAGAAAAGACCTTTCTCTACTTTTGTCATGCACGATAGCACCAAAGAAAATGGTTTGTGTTATACCAGACACGCACAACAGTGCAAAAGCAAAGTTTTTGTGTTCCACTCGACTACGCCAAAAATTATGCTCTACCTCACTTTTGCCTTGCGCGGAGTACAACAAAAAGGCTTTCCGTTACCTTCGTCACGCTAACAGAGCCAAAGGAAAAGGCTTTGCGTTACCTTTGTCATGCTAACGGCGCTAGAGAAAAAGGCTTTGCGTTATTTCTGTCACCCACGTTAACAAGATAATATCTCTTAAATGTGACTTAGGAGGGCATTTAAAGCATACACTACTTACCCCGGGTAGGTTTGGTCGCCAATATTCAACCTCCCTTTGGTTACTCTGGATGGCTTTGGAAATGTCTGTATGACTGAGTTTGGAGTGAACTGATCCCCTTTCCTGTAGAAATCGAGACGAAACTACATTATGAACAAATTAAAACTGATACCTAACTGAAAAAGAGGCTCAGTTGCAAAAGCTTGGTATAGAAAACCCTATGCCACGTTCCTATGCTGCGTATTCCGATTGGCTGTCGTAAAGCCAATCGAAAGCAATCACGACGGCCAATCAGGGCAAAAAAAAATGACACAACGAGCCAACGAGAACTCAAAGCAATTATACGTATGCGTCATAAAGAGCGAAAAAACGAGAGTGACCACGTCGCGATAGATTATTAGTTTTGAGTCTAATTGGCTGAGAAAGTGGAGCGAGTTTTCTAGACCAATCTCACAACGTCGCAAAGCAAACCCGAACGAAGCCCGGCTTTCTTTTGCTGCTCAATTGAAAATTGATCCATGGATTGTCTTACCTTTGGGATAGCCGGTATCAGACCTTGCGAAAACTTTGACGAGTCAGCAATTTTTAAGCTCGGGAGCTCTCTGGATTGTTGCTCAGACAAATCGTCATATTCCACCATTCCTCTGAGACGACTCTAAAATATAGAAATTAAAAAGTACACGAAACTTAGTACTAGTGAAGTATATTTGTTTTTCAGACAGAAAACTATGCAAAACAAAAAATTGAGTATTAGCCTTTCCGTCAAGTACTGAGCTGATAAGTTTGTCACTCTCATTAAGAAGTGAGTGTTAAATCTTTAACTAACACGACAAGGACTTATTCCTCCCCAACGTTCCCAATATTTTCCTTTTAGCGGTGATAAAATGCTTCCCTCTTCAGTAAAATTAGAAAACAATTTGTTACATGCACAGAGCCTCTACGTTGGTTAAAGAGGGAGAACCACTGCCAGGAACAATTTGCTAACCTTTTTAGCAGGGGGATCTGCTTCATTCATTTTGCCATTTTTTCCATTTTTCTCCTTTTCTTTGTTTACGCTGGAACTGAGGAGAATGGTACAAAATTATGATGAATCTGTTCAGTATTAAATCAAATAAGAGACAAACGAGGCAGAGGCGAGTGTGTCACCATGTTGATGGTGTCACTTATGTTGTGACTTCTTACCCAGAAGCTGTGGCTTGTACCACCATTAAACTGTGGTGATTCAGCTTTCTAAACAAGGACTGAGTTACTGCGTTGTTCT